TGGTGTGAGATGTCATCATGTTCCTCAGAACAGCATGAGTTTTAAAATTTATGAATTGCTTATTTCTAGAATTTTCCATTTTAATATTTTCCTACCGTGGTTGACCTGGGATAGCTGAAACCATGGAAAGTGAAACCATGGTTAAGGGGGGAACTACACACATACCTCGGAGATATTGTGAGTTCAGTTCCAGACCACCGCAATAAAGCAAATATCACAATAAAACAGGTCACGAGAATATTTTCATTTCCTGGTGCCTGTAAAAATTATGTCTACACATAATTGTAGTAGTGTAGTAAGTGTGCAATAGTATTGTCTAAAAAAACAATGTGCACACCTTAATTAAAAAATACCTTTTTTTTTTTTTTTTTTTTGCTAAAAAATGCGAGCCATCATGGGAGCCTTCGGTAAGTGGCAAACTTTTTGCTGGTGGAGGGTCTTGTCCATCAAAGATCACTGATCACAGATCACCAGATCACCATAACACATACAATAATGATGAAAAAGTTTGAAATATTGTGAGAATTACCAAATGGTGACACAGAGACACAAAGTGAGCAAATGCTGTTGGGAAAATGGCGCCGATAGACACTCACTAGAGGGTAACCACAAACCTTCAAGGTGTAAAAATGCAGGACCTGTGAAGTGCAATAAAAGGAGGTAACCCTGTATTATTGGGGAATTGTTCACGGTCAGCTGCCCAGGGGCTGTCATTTTACACCTACCTGCCCTAGAGTGACGAGAGAGAGAAGGAGAGGAACAGTGCATGTTGTAGAAAAAGATTTCTAGGCAACAACTTCTAATCTGAAAAATTACAGGTAAACCAAGCTATCTCCAGAACCACTCAAGAATTAAGTGCAAAGAATCCCATAATTTTCACTCCAGGAAAGAGGCGACAGCCTTGGGAAGAATCATGATGCCTATTTACCCCACAGTGGTTTCCAGATTCTCCTTTTCCTTACCAGGGGAACTTTTTATGCAAAGAAAATATTGTGTATATTCTGGAACTTTTTATTCAAATGAAATTGCCATAGAATTTCAGTATATAAGACAAAAATGAAGAGGAGGCTTTCCAGCTAGGAGTGTGTGTGTGTGTGTGTGTGTGTGTGTGTGTGGTGTTTCTTCCTCCTTGTTGAAGCTCTGAAGCCCCTCTATAGATGGCTGGCATTCCATGTACATAGACTAAAATTTCCAAACTGCATATTTACATTTTATAGTAAGTCAAAATCTGTTAAAGACTGTGCAGCAGATGATGTGATTGTGTTTATGATGCTCCCTTCGAAAATAAGCCTCTTATTTTTTGAACACCTATTCTATGTATAACACCAGCATAGGAAGAGGCCGGGTGAGGTGGGCAAAGTGCCAGATCATAAGAATTTAGCTAAACTGTAGAAGCAATTCAGTGTCCATCGACAGATGAGTGGATAAAAATAAATGTGGTTTATTCATGCAATGGAAAATGATTAAGTGTTAAAAAGAAAGGAAATTCTGATACACACTACAACATGGATGAACCTTGGGGACATGCTAAGTGAAGTAAGCCAGTTACACACACACACACACACACACACAAACACACCCTACAAATACTATATGATTCCACTTATATGAGGTGCTGAGAGTAGTCAAACTCATAGGGACAGAAAAGGAGAATTGGGAGTTAGTGTTTAATGGGGACAGAGTTGCAATTTCATGAGATGAAGAGAGCCCTGGAGTGTACTTAATGCCATGGAACTGTCCCCTTAAACAGAGTTAAGTTAGTTAATTTTATGTTATGTCTATTATACCACAAAAAAAAAATTAGAAAAATATCTAGTGTGGCTTCAGCCAAAATATTGTAGGTACTGCAATAAATTATCAGACATGGTTCTGAAAACTTTTGTAGCTTCCAGTATATGTTTAACTTGACCAGTGTCCCTCCCCAACAGAGAAGGTAACATCTCAAAATGAAAATTGATTAAAACTGACTTAATATAGAATGTCAAAAGAAAGTTACTATAGCTAATGAGATATTGGAGAAGCATATAAACCTGAGATAATGGAGAAATAGCCACTGAAACTGTCCTAAAAATAAGACGTGTTACTTTTACTGTTCTATAACAAATTGCTGTAGTCTAGTTCCTTTACAAGATTAACAATTAAGAACATTCTAACTTCAAACATTTTTACTTGAGAAGATGGTGTGTTTGGTCTGTTTATACCCAAAGATGCCAAAGGCTAGTCATGGTAGCAGCAGGACAAGAAGAGAACATCCTTAGCTGAGTGGGGAGACTTGTGTGGTCATAATAAGACCCTGAACAAAGGTGCAGGGAGTATGAGAACCCCTCTACCACCTGATGACCATAATGAAAGCCCTGTCATATAAGCAAGTCAGGAGAGAATCTTGTCTTTAGTCATTGTTAGAGAAGCTACCATCAGTAAGCGGGGAGCGGTCAGTTAGAGAAGCAGTAAACACTGTTCATTTGTTTTGTTATTCATTCATCAAACATTTATTGAGCACCTACAATACAGCAGGCACTGTCTTAGCGATAAAGATCATGAGTAAGAAATATTTTCTTGGCTTGATACACTCATAAAATAGCTCAGGGGACAGCGGGAGGATAACGACGTGCAAAAAAACGATGAGAAAAGTTTTCTAATATACTTCCACTAAAGTGTAATTGTGTCACATAATAGGGATTGACTAGCTCTGAACCAGTGTCACAGAGGAGAAGGTGTGTGCATTGGACTTGGAAAGGTGGGCAAGGCTGTGAGGCTGTGCACACGTGGCCACTAGCATGCTATATTGCACGTAAATCGTTGCTTCGAGAGCCCAGATTCATGATTCAGGGGAAGCTATTTACAAAGGCATCTCAATTACAAAGGCTTAAGCTGCAAGTCACAAAAACCTCAAACACAAAATTGGTTAAGTAGTAATGGAACGCATAAATTGACGTAATAAAAACAACCAGAAACGAAGAGGCCTGGGCTGGCCGAGTGGCGCGATGGTTAAGAACTGGATTGGGACGTCAGAGGGCCCCGGTTCGGATCCCACATATGAGGGCCAGTGACACTGCCCTCCACAACTAAGATGTTGAACTACAGCTCAACCTGGAGCTGGGCTGCAGTCACTGCTACAGTGGGCTGCCATGGGCTACCGTGTGTAGCCAGCAGCCAGCGTGAGCGGCCGTCCAGAAGCCGGCGACTGATCTGCCTCGCCCGGGAAGAGCGCAATGATGGTGCCAACTTGGGCCAGTGAAGCAACGTCCTCCACAACTAGACCGAAGAACAAAACGACAGCAACTTGTCTGTTCCCCTTCCCCCGATTCCCCAATAAAAAATAAAAGAAACGAAGAGGCCCTCAGTTCCTCCCCCTCTTGCTGCCCTGCCGCCCTCAGTTGTGGCTTCTCTTGAGCTGGCAGCACAATGGGTTCACCAGTTCTAAATTTCATGCAAAACACAAACTGTGCAAGAGAAGAGAGAACGTCCTTCCGGCTCTCTCTGAGGGGAAGAGCATTTTATAGAAGCCAGAAACTTGACTTCCCCTTTTGTATCACGGGCCAGCTGAGTTCTAAAATGGGCCACAGGATTGATTTCTGAACCCATCAGTGGCAGGGGAATTGGAACAAGGACAGCTACAGTAGTGGGTGTTTGTCACACTAGTCCACTGACAAACACGCACAGCCACGCATGATTATGTGTGCTATGAGGAGAGGGCGTGCATCTCAGGAACCGCGAGGCCAGGTCCAGTCACGTACTCTTCATTTGAACATCACCTCCGAGGACACTTTTAACTGCCAAGGCATTTATCTTGAGCCTGGCCTCTGTTTCCTGAAACGGACTCTAAGGTTTTTGCTTCCCGTTTTGCTCTCCAGATATTTTAATAACGATGACATCGATCCACATATGGCACTATAAATTCCCTCTTTCTATATTTTCATCAGAAGAAGTTCTTTATCCCACTTACGTTATTGTGGTTCCAAAACATAAACCTCTTTTTTTGTTGTTTTGTTGTTATTTGTTTTAGTCCACAAAGAGGTGGTCTGAATAAATATTTCTTTGAATTACAGGAAGATGTCACACAGGCAGATAACAGCATGAATGCTCCTCTGGTGCCTGGGACTCTAATTTCCCAGCCTTTTTCAAAACATCTGGGGCTCAGCGCTGCGACATAGATCTACAGCCTCTGAATCTAACCCTACTTGGTAAACACAATCCCTGCAAAGCCCACTTCCCTGGCTGCATTGTAGGAGATGATTTCAGACGTAATTGCACAAAGATTTAAATTATCTGCTCCTTTGTCTTTCTTTAGAATGCAGACACCACAATACACATTTCTCCCTTAAACCTTCCCCTCCCAGCTTCAAGTGGCATCTTTTCACATCAAGGCTTCCTTTGTAAGCCTAAAAGATGCATTTTCCAAGCATGAGCTCCCCCTCCTTTTTAGGGCTTAAATCACAGAACACTAATCAATGATAATTGTTGCTGTTCTTCCCAGTCGACACTCTTGATGAAAGAACAGCAGCGATGTTAATAACAGCCCACACCTCACTCCAAGTGTAGACATTTTCATTTACATGAATTGATATCAGCTCATCAGCCCTGCAAGGAAGGGAGGGGACGAAATTATTTTAATGAAGAGAGTAGCCTGGCACTGTGACTTGTCCAAACAAAAAGCAACTCAGGTGGCCCAAGCAACAAGGTTGGTCTGGTGTGTTCATTAGACATCTGCCAGGAGAGTCCTTCAGAGGTGACTAAGCATTCATAGCTCAAAATGCTGACCCCTACTGAAAACTGTCTCCATTCCACAAGTCATATTTACCAGGTGGCCCTTGCGTGTCAGTTGCTTTGCTAGAAGCTACTCGTATAATCATTGACTTAAATTCACCTATACGTGTTAATTTTCTTTTTCTTAATGTGGAGGCAGGTGAAATGAGTCAACACTGGTGCCTACACGCTTTGGCTTTGCTGCCCATTGGCCCATTTCAGAAGCGTCACATGATGGAGATGACTTTTAAATGAAGATACCAGTAGCACTGTATTGCCTAAGTGTCTTTGGCTTTCGCTTTGCAAGTTCCTGTTTTCAGACGCTTTCCACCATGGTCGAGCCCTTCTTGGGAACCTGGACACTGGAATCCAGTGAAAACTTTGAGGCATACTTGGAACAACTGGGTGAGAAATACCACTCAAAGATTTGGCCACACATTTGGTGATATGGTTGGGTTTGCATTTTATAATGAAAGTTCCTACCATTCTCTCTCTCTTTTGTGATTCTAGGGTATCTTCATATGAGATTAACAAAGTTTATGTACCAACTTTTGCTTTAAAAAAAAACAAACTTTATTGGGGAACAGTGTGTTTTTTTCTAGGACCCATCAGCTCCAAGTCAAGTCGTTGTTTTCAATCTAGTTGTGGAGGGTACTGCTCAGTGGCCCATGTGGGGATCGAACCGGCAACCTTGGTGTTATGAGCCTGCGCTCTAGCCACCTGAGCCAACCAGCCACGCCTAACTTCTGATTATTTTATTACTAGTAATAATTGTCTCCTTTGAGAATATACTTTTTCTTCTAGCCATTATCCATATATTAAGTCCATTTATCCTTTTAAAATATTTCACCCTAACCCCTTGAGAGTATTTCTCTTTAGCTTGGTTATTTCATCAAATAGCTTTCCCTAGCTTCAAAGTTACACACACTAATAGCTATCTATGAGTAAATTTATCAACTACATTTGTTTCAAAGTTTTCTTTAAGTTATAACTTCAAAAGAGTAATAACGACAAATGAACTTTCTAGTTGGTTAATTTTCAGAGCACCGACACATGTGGGAGGCATTTTTAAAAGAGTATTTTGAAGAATTTCAAATTTTTTATTGGAGAAATGGAACATTTTTACTCTTTGAATGTCTCATCATGGGATATTTCTCAGAAGTATAAAGTCTATCCATCCTTTAATTCTTACCCAAGTGGCATAAACATCAATTATAATGGCTCAGGACTGTAACAGCTAAACTATTCTTTCTAATGCTGAAGAACTATAATTATTTACAGTGACATCTAATTAAGTTATTGTTAATATTTAATTAAGAGAAACCTCTCTTGCAATAATAAACTGTTTATAAAATCAAGACTTTTTTTTACCTTACTTTTTAAACTTTTTTTTTTAACTTGGCTGAAATGATCAAAGCATAATAAGTCAATGTGCTCATAACATCACATCTGTTCCCTTTTCATAGTCAGTATTAACTTCTCAGGGAGGAGAAGAATTACCAGTTCTGAGTTTAAATTTGGGGACATCTAAGAAACTTGGGACTGATGATAAAAGTAGCACTTGTCTTGACTGGGAGCTGGGCTTAGGCAAAGCCAGAGAGCCTAAGAACTGGGCACCTACTATGTGCCATGACCGCCTAAGCCCTTTCATTTATCTCACCCCTATGAGGTAAGTAGGATAATGACCTACATTTGACTGTCAATGACATGCTCATGCTAGCAGGTGGCACGCACACTTGGAGGTGTGTCGCTCTCCCGTGGTCCACGCCTGACACTGCTTCTCTGTGGGCAGACCTGTCCTGTCAGTGCCACAATCTGAATGTGACATCGACGCTGCGAGAGAGGAGTCAGCGCTTCTGCCATCTCCAGCTGGAGCCAACTTTGACGATGGACCGTCCCCAACCTGAAACAGGACCAGCCTCTTGGCTACATTGTCCAGCTTGCCACCCCCTCTTTACTCACTCAGATGGGGACTGAACCCGCAAATGAGGGAGGCGTGTGGACTTCACAAGTCATCATCTTGTAGAGCAGTTTAGATGCTTTGAAAATTGTAGTTCTTGTTTTTTGAAGAGAAAAAGAAAGTGTGCTAAAATTCTTGGGCCATTAGAAACCTTGTATTTAAATCTCAGCTGTGCTACTTAGCAGACACACCACCCAGAGTCAGCCTCCCTACGTGCTGGGGACACCGTGTGCTCTTGTCTGAAATGAGGGCAACAACACCATCCGGCTTCCTGGATGGTGACCATGCAAATATACATTTCAGATGAAGCACCGAGTCTCAAGAAGTGACTGTAGCTTTTCAACACGACAGGTATAATTGCTAGACATACCTTCTGATCGGGAGGGCCTGGCCCAGTCCTGCTGTCCCCGAGAGCCTTGAAGAAATGACGCACCGTATCCAAAACTTGAACAGGGGAAGATGGCGTCCTCTCTGAATTGCTTTCCCAAATGATTGCTAGCACTCTTTCCTACCCGTCTTACGAAGGTGTGTTGCCTCCTCTAACCGACAGGAATACCCGCTGCCTTCCGGCACTTGGCCGCGTTAGAGAAGCCAAGAATCACTATCAGATCCCACGGGGAGAAACTGAGCATCAAAACTCAGAGCTCCCTCAAGACCACGGAGATCTCCTTCAGGCTGGGGCAGCAGTTTGATGAAACCACTGCCGACAACCGGAAAGTGAAGGTAAGGACCGAGCCTTCCTGGTGTGTTACAATCAGGAAAAAAACTAGAAGGTAGTTTGGCATGGCTTATTCGTATCTCATTTGCTTAATTACTGAGTCAGCTGGGGCTCGTTTTGTTCATCAGGGTTGCTCCTCTCTTGTGGTAAATTATTCTGCTGGGTGACGGGGACCAAAGACATTTCACATGTTTTCACTTTTTTCCTGATCTCTCTTTGCCATTGTACAAAAGCACCTACAGAGAGGAACATTATCCACGAGTAGTTTGGGTCTCGTTTGCCTGGGGGAGGAAAGTGTTAATTGAACAATTTCTTGAGACTCCTTTGGTTTGAGGTATTCAATTATGACAACAACTGAGGCGAGGATTTTCGGAGGAAAAAATTTCAAAACAAAACTTAAAAAGTAGATGTCCAGTTTTGCGGAGGTTGGAATGTGGTGAATTAACATTTCTAACAGATTCCTTTATACATTCACAGAGCGTCGTAACATTAGATGGTGACTCCCTGGTTCACGTCCAAAAATGGCATAATAAAGAAACAACAATCAAAAGGCAAATTGTAAATGGCAAAATGGTAGCGGTGAGTTTTCCCTAAACGCATCTTAGATGCCCCTATTTGATGCGTGCCGTTCGAGTTACTCAGTTTTGCATCTTGATTTGAGGGTCTGGGGAAGGAGGGACCCGTCAGCCGCCAATTCTAACAGGTCTCTCTTTGCTTTTAGAAACATGCCATGAATAATGTTGTCAGCACGCGAGTCTACACAAAGACATGAAGAAAGTGCCTGCCTCAGTGAGAACTTGTTCACTCACAGGAAACCGGGGCTTGAAGATATATGGCTTTGGGCCAGTGATTTAACAACAACAAAAAAAATGCTCAGCATGAATTTGCTCAATAAAACCATCAAATTAAGCAGAGTTCTGGAGCCGTGTGATATTGAGAGTGAGGGCTAGTTGATAAGGTGGTGAGGCAAGAGACTCCTTGCCTATGGTGTGATTGTAAGAGCACCATGTCCCCTTCGTCTGCCGACCACCGGCCTTCTGCCGCCCTCGAGTTCCCTCCAGGGAGGCCCATTCCACTTAGGTTAAGGCATCTGTCACAAGGTGCTCCCCTGAAGTTCAGGTGACCTCAAAGGGAGTACATTACAGTCGTTGGAATGTTTGGGCAGCACAGATGCTGAAAACCACATTGCTGGTTTTTTATTTTTGCAGGAGGCTGACCCTGCTTAAACTAGTTTGGGTGGATTGCTAGATGATAGATAGATAGATAGATAGATAGATAGATGATAGATAAATAGATAGGTAATAGATAGATGATAGATAGATGATAAATAATAGTGATAGATAGATAGATAACAGATGATAGACAGATAGGTAGATCGACAGGTAGATAGATAACAAAATAGAGAAATAGAGCCCAGACATTATACGCTATGGATGAATTCTATAGAAGAGAATATTTTAAAATAATCATTGTCTTATTTATCCATAAACATTTAAAATAATGAGGTTAGTGCATCCGTCACCACTGTGTACAGCATAGCCTTTAAAATCTTTAATTTTATTAAATGCCAGTCTTGACTTTCGAAATGCCTAGTAAGAATATAATTGCCAGAGCTGCACAAAGTCCCTTAATAGTTTCACCAAGCACTGTTACTAGGGCTTAGAGCAAAGCTGAGTCATATAGTAAAGTAAAGGGTAAAGCCTAAAAAACTGAGGGTATTGGTAGCAGTGGGAGGAGGGAAAGGAGAAAGAGGAGGAATTATGTAAATATTATGCAGCAAACTTAAAAATAAGTCCTGAGTCATGATTAATACGCATTACAATGGAATGTCCATGTAATTTGTCATCTAAACTGGGGGAGACGTGAACCTGGAAAGAGGCATTATTAATCATTACAGCTGGACAACAGGATGCACTGGGGCTGTCCTAGCTAACTGTCCCAGGTCACCTTAATAAGATGGAATTGAAGGGTGATGTACAGAAGGACTGGGCACGGGATTCAGGCAAGAGCTGAACCCTGGGTGACGAAAGGACCTAGGGTGTTCAGATTTCTCTGAAGTCTCCTGAGCACGCGGCTGTGCGTGGTGATGGGCTTGGTGGCAGCCACACAGCTGCTGGATGTGACGTGTCCCCGTTGTTCCCTAAAGGACTCAAGTGTGTCCAGGATGTCACCATGTTTGTCCTTCAGAAGTCAGGGTCTTTCCACCCCAAGGGAGTGTTCTGTGCACAGAGGGGAGGCTGAGCTGCCTTAATCAGAGGGTGGCCACTTGAGCAACGCCTGGGAGCAGGGCTTGGAGTGTGTTCCCCAACCACGAGGACAAAGACGTTACTCGGAAAAGCATAGGCACCTATTTACTTAAATCTTTGGCTGTCCAGAGGCACGAATAAGAAAAGAATAACACAGGTCAAGACTTACTTCTCTTCTCACACACTTCGCACCTCAGCGTACAAAGAGCGCTAGTGAGAAACCCAAGCCTGAGGCTAAGTCTTTAGTTGGTAGGCTCCAACTAGCACACCTGAGGACTCCATGCATTGCCCAGGTTCTCGCTCAGTGACCACTGTGTGCTCCGTGCCGTAGCAGGGGCTGACGCACGGCCATGACCTATACAGGCACTTCACAATTGCCTTTGGATGTCACAGGTAGCGGAGGCCACTTGAAACCCTGTTTCCTTAATGTTTATTCTCAGTCAAATCATGTAAAGATTTCTGCAAGAAAAAAATAAAAAATCATTGGAGTTTACACCTAGAATCATTCGTTTTTACTAAGGACTTCCAGAAATCAGCCTCTTGGCATATCTGACTCGTCTTTAGAAGTCACCTAGAAGAAAGAGTGGTTTCCAAACAAGGATTCATTCCAGTTTCAGCTAAAACGGCCAGTCTCTCCTACTCCAGCCAATTGTTTAGAAATAAGGGTTAACTTATAGACAGTGACATGCACACATATTAGAGTTCAATATGTTGTGACAAATGCGTGTACTCATACCATTCCCATCTGATCAACGGATAGCGCATTTCCTAAATCCCAGAGTGTTTTTGTCATGCCCAGTCCCACCAAAAACAAGCAGGGATTTTAGTTTCTGTCACCACAGATTAGCTTTGCCTCCTCTCAGGCTTCCTATAAATGGAATCATACATTATGTGCTCTTTTCTGTCCGCCTTTCAAAACGCAGCATCGTGTTTTGGAAATCCACACAGCCGTAAGCTTTTCTCTTTTTATTTTAATGGAATGTTAGTATTCCATTGCATGAACATATTACAGCTTATCCATTCTTCTCTGAAGATGATCAGGCAGTTTCCAGTCTTGGGCTCCTATAAATAAAACTGCTATAAACATTCTTGTACAGGCTGCATGTGCACATATGGGTTCCTTTCCTCCGGGTAGATTTAGTAGGCGTGGAATTACAGGGTCCCATTGATTGTTGGCAGGCAGGAATAGGGGACCGCCGTGCCCAAGTCATAATGAAAGTATTTGAGGTGTATTACACGATTGAGCAAATGTAATTTGTGTTGATGTTGCTAGGAGCCAGAAGTTTCCCTCTGAACGAAGGAATATACAAATATGGAATGAGGGACGGCAAGAAGGAAAATGTGAAAATGGATTAGAATAGATGTACATTCATGGTTTCTAAGGCAAGTGTCTATTAGTGTTTATGTGTGTTTAATGGGACATGCATATCTGCATGCATTTGTGTGTGTTTGTATATATGTGCTTATTGTGTATATATACAGTCATCCCCCTTTATCCTTGGGGGATATGTTCCTAGCCCCCAATGGATGCCTGAAACTGTGGATAGCACCGAACCCTAGATAGACTATGTTTTTTTTTTTCTTTTTCTTTTTTCTTTTTTATTTCCAACAGAGATATTCATCCTATTCACCTGAGTCATGTAATATCCTGCTTCTAGTTTCATATATCTCACTTGTATTATTTAGTGAGGACGAGTTAAGTGGAGAAGGTTTTCTTATGAAAAAATCTTTAAACTCTCAATAATTTTCCAAATTATACTCAATAAATACTTATTTTTTCCAATCAAGTTACTTAAAATACTCATCTCTTGCCATACTAGTGTCACTTTATTTATTTTTCTTTTAATTATTTTTTATTATGAAATACACATTTTTTAGAATTAGTTTCAGCTGTACAACACAGTGCAATAGTTATACTTTTTACCCCTCGAAGTGACAACCCCCCTCCCCAATCTGCCGCCCCACTTCCCCCCAATATCATACATATCTATTACAATTCCCTTGACCCCACTCCCACACTATACTCCACGTCCCATGACCATATATATATAATATAATATAATATATATATATTATATTATATAATATATATAATATATATATATAGTCTAGTCAACTACAAGTGAATATATATACTCACTTATAGTTGACTAGACTATGTTTTTTCTTAAACATATTGTACATACCTATGATAAAGTTTAATACCTAAATTAGGCATGGTAAGAGGTTAACAACAGTAACTGATAATAAAAATTACAACAATAGGCTGTAATAAAAGTTACGTGACTGTGATAGCTTTCCCTATTTCACTGTACTGGACTCACCTTTTCACTTAAAGGAAGCAGTTTATGGCTTCTCTATGGCATATCTGAGTTGCCAGCATCACTACTCTTGGGCCCCTTATCAAGCAAAATAAGGGTGCCTTGATCACAAGCCCTGCCACCTGGTAACCAAGATGGCTACTAAGCAATTAATGGGTGGGGAAGCCTACAGCGTAAAGACTCTGAACGAAGGGATAATTCACATGTCCCAGGCAGGACAGAGAGGGATGGCACAAGATGTCATCATGCTACTCAAAACGGCACGCAATTTAAAACTCATGAATTGTTTATTTCTGGAATTTTTCATCTAATGTTTTTGGACCGCTGTTGACTGCAGGTAGCTAACTAAACCCACGCAAAGCGAAACCACACGTAAGTGGGGACTACCGTATGTGTATACACATGCATGAGTCTCCTAACGCTACCTGCCCAAAGAGCTCAGAAGCAAAGACACCTCAGCAGGTGGGGCACACCTAGCGCCCAGATCTTGGTATCTAATACCATTCCCCACTACAATGAATGAGGGTCCCCTGGAGAAATGGCTGATTCCAATGTGAGGGCAGGGTAGGTACAACCTGCGTCTGAAAATACCTTGTTATGCCAGAAAGTAAGGAAGGGTTCCAAAAAATAATAACTGAGGCATGTCACCAAAATATGGGAGTCAGCTTGAAGGTGCTGCCATTGGCCCAAACTGGGACAATTTGAGGAGCAAAATAATGGAGAAAAACCATAAATTATAAACCACTGGGGGACAATAAGAATACAGTTTGGAGAGAGAGATTAAGAAGGAGCAGGGGTGGGGGGAAGGAAAGAAGTGTCTTCCTTACAATAGAATGCCCTGGGCTGACTGGTAAGTGCGGAAGGGGTTGGTGGAACTGGGAAACAGTCATTTTTCACCCATCACAGTAGATATTGGCTCAGGCAGGAATTCTCAGTGGTGCTCATGCTAGAGGGGAGTTTTGATTAGGAGCAGGGTATTAGATATTAGACAGCTCCACACAGGCTGTCTGTTAGTCACAAGAGAAAAAGTAGTAACTATGCACTGGAAAAATTGGACAACCTCTTGACTGGGAAAACGGAATTAACGTCGCCAGTGAGGGGTGGGTGAAAAACATGTGGCTTCCAATGTGATACCCTGAGAAGGAAGTGACATCAACCTGTGTAGCGTTTGGCCTGGAATCCATGTCTGGATCTAATCATGAGGAAACATCGGACAAATTCCACCTGAGGAATGTTCTGTTAAAAAACGGAGGGGGTGCTGATTGAAGCCTTCAAAAACATCAGTGTCACAGAAGACAAAGAAAGCCTCTGGGGAAACGTTTCAGATTAAATTGCACTAAAA